CAAAACCATAAGCCTGCCGGCCGTAACAAAACCATAAGCCTGCCGGCCGTCACATAAAGTCCAGGCCCTCCTGGCCCTCTGGCCAAAGCCTCCCAGTCAGGCTTCTCTCTGCCTTCACCATAATGCATCCCTCTATGTGCTCAAGCTGTACTGCTTAGTTTAACCCTCCTGCAGAGCTCTTACCCCTCAGGTTGCCAGAAGGGAACTGCCAGCCAGGCTCCGGCCTGGCTGTTTATAAGGGCCTGGCCCTGCCCCCTTCTGGTCACGTGACCACCCTGGTTGCTCCAGCAACCCGCACCTGAGCTGCCCTGGTGATTGGCAGCTCGGCCCATACTACCACCGCCAGTAGCAGGCACCCTGGTGCCCTGCTACACTCCCTGTAAACAAAGAAGAAATTCTTCTTAAAATTAATTTAGAAGATCTATTTTGGGATCAATAGATACCTAACCAGAAAGGATGTTTTCTTCCCACAAAAAAAGAGATATTTTGAGGAGATGATATTATTTGAAGTCTTCCTCTGTGGTAATAGGAAGCATTGTGGTAGTAATTTTAATAAGAGGCTTACATATAAATAAACATCATCAGGACCAATTTTTCAAAACTAAAGCATATATCAGGTAAATGTTCGTTCAGATGGCCAGGGGGCCCTAACTGCCTCTGAAGTAGGTTACAGTAAAAGAGAACAGAAAATGCTTCCTCTTCATCGTCCCCCAACAGCAAAAGGGAAATGATACATTTTTTAAATATCAAGCGATGCTTCTGTGAACAAATATGCCCTACTTTTTGCTCTTATGCATAGAACTGGCAAAGGCCTTGGGAAAGAATAGTTTCATTCATAATCTAGTGAGAGTTACTCTGTGTTTGATTACATTTTTGTTAATAGTCTTAGGAGTATAGTTAAAACAGCATTTTCAGGTCATTTAAGTTTTAAATTTTCCTACCTTTTAAAAGTTTTGTTATGGTAACAGATACCCTTCTGAGTTTGTCTACATGATTTTATTGCTGTAGCACCAAATAACTTAAAGTAATAAGAACTTGTCCTACACAGTTATTTGTGTTCTTCTTGCAATTAAAAATACTGATCTAAAAAACCTTGGCATGGTTGTATCCTAAGTCTGCTCAAACTGTCACCATCTGTGAGATATTGGAGGTGTATTCGTAGAGACATTCAAGCTAGTAGATCCAAGGGCTAATTGAGAAGTCCCTGTAAACAAAGCCTCTTGTCAAAAAGGCTTTTTTGACAATTTGGCCATTTTCTATAAAGAGACAAATGGGCACTACCACAATTTTCTCTCATTGATTCTTTCATCTGTCCCTCAGTTTTTAACTTCTACACTCTCTACCTCTCCACAGCAAAAATCAGCAGCAGACTCCACTCTAGCTTTTGACCCTTCTTTAACCATCTTCCTGCAGAGACCAGAGATGTGGGTTTTCTGGAAAAATTTGAACTGGAAAATTTTCCAGAAAAAAAACCAGAAATTTTTCCAATGTCCTAAATAGAACACGATCTGATTTAGCATGTTTACTTGACTTATTTTTAGTAAACAAAACTAAAAAACTACCCCCTGTTAATTTTCTGTTTCAATAGCCACAAGTATTTGAACTGAAATATTTGATTAGGAAAATAATTAAATACAGCACACTTAATGTGATTTAAATGTTATAGTCAAAGACATTCAAAGATTTATGTGGAAAGAAATTATTTTTATTGGAATACTTGTAAAAATGTAAAGACAATACACAACAGCATGTTCTTCCCTTCTATTGTTTGTTTAAATTTAAGAAAAAAAATGAAGGCACTGAAAACTGTTGACACACTAATTTTAGCACACACGTGATATGCCATGCTTTGGCTGTGCAGGTCAAATTAAAATCAATTAAGTGAATCCATAACTTGATTTTTGGTTTTGGATTTTTATTTAAGTGTATTTACCCTCCTGTTTACAGATCAATAAAACATATGTACTCTCTCACACAGTTCCTAGGGATAATCACCTGCAAAACATTAATTACAACTTTGAAACTGCCAAGCTGCCTAATATTGTACTGGCATCCACTCATTGTTGCTAATGAATGTTATGAAACAACGAATTTTTAGAAATGAAAAATTTCCCACGGAAAAAGAAAACACTGGAAAATGTTCCGCCCCACATCTCTGGCAGAAGCTGGGGAAGCATTGAGAAGCAATAACCTTCTTCACACAAGATCCTTATGTATATGTAGCATGTAGTGGCATGAAGTGCTACTGACCAGAATTTGCTACTCTACCATTATTGAGTACTGGAGTAATGGCAAGGATGCTCAGTAACATCTGCTGAAGCTGCTGTCCTTTTCTTGGATCAGACTATGCTTCCTGCACATACAAAAAAAAAGTGCTAGGTTGGTGGGGAGGTGGAGGGAAGGGGGGCAGAAGACATAAGGTCGAGGGAGCAGGGTTCTTCATGGCTCTGATTTGTGTGTGGTAAGAACAGAAAATCTGTTGGGCTCTTTTGGACAAGCAGCCACCTATAAATGCAGGCAGCAGAACTGGATGGCCCAAGTGGGCCCTCTGAGGCCGATTTTCCAATGTAATAGGTATGTTTATAATCTCATAGCAGATTACAAATTTGCTGTTCTAATTACCTGAATAGTGATCTATTCCCTGTTCCTGGCGAATGTAGTTTTCTTTCATTAATGTAATTGATATATATGGATTTTAGAGATGGAATTTTAATCAATCCAGTGAAGATGTATCTCACTATTCTAATTGAAATATGGTTTTAATATAAATTAATCACAAAAAAATAATGATTTTTGTTCATAGCTAAATAATCACATCTCTTAACTTTTTCTAGTATAGAAGCTTTGATCCATCAGTAAGGACTTTCTCAACCACTGATTTGTATCTCTCCCCAGCCCCTTAGGGTTCATCTCCACTAGAAAATATTACTAAAATAACAACTGTCTGTGCATTCTGATATAACTATTTTATTTTAAATTTACACCTTAGTGTGATTCTGACACTTAATCGATATATCAAAATATTACAAAATAATTCTGGTACCTAAATATTTAAAAAGAGATTGAAAAGTTAGAGAAGTTGCTAAGAAGAGCCACAAAATTCAATTTTAGGGATTAAAGAATATACATTGTGAGAGAATACGTGTAGCATATCAAAAAGATTGAAAGATGAATTGATTAGAGTGCAAAAATATTTTCAAGGGAGAAAATTTTGTAGGACTAAATATAGTGAAGAAAAGTGTAACCAAAACAAATGGTTGAAAGTTAAAACCAGACATTTTCAACAGCAAATAAAGGCACACATTTTCTACAGCCTTTCCTATAAACTGCCAAAGGGGTGTATTCTCTGTCTCTTGATATCAACTAATAAATCTTGAATGCCATTTTGGAAGACATGCTTCATTCAAACAGGAGTTATTGTGGTCAGTGCAGGGGTAAATTGGTGAAAGTCTTTGGCTTGTATTACAGATAGTCTAAATCAGAATGTGTGATATAATAGTCCCTTCTGGCATTACAGTCTGGGGATTTTGTGGCTATGTGCTAATATTAACATAACTGATTGACTGACCATGTCTAAGAAAACAAGAAACCCAATTCGAAGTATAAACACTAATACAATGAACATCAGCATGATTAATGAAGCAATCAAAGAGAAATGCACTTTAGTTAATCTTCAGGATTGGGAATTGGTTAAAGAAATGGAAGGGATGTTCTTACAAAGGGAAAACAAAATTACTTAGTACTGCATAGACCAGGGCTGTCCAACTTCAGCGTAGCTAAGGGCCACATGCTGCACAGCTTGTGAGCCTTAGAGCACACACTGTGCACACTACATGCTGTTGGGACCACATGGGCTCCCCAGGACCTCCATTGCATGAGCCTTGCACTGTGACTACTGCATGGGCAATCCCCCTACCATTGCTGTCACCCCTGCATGGGCACTTTTTCCCCAGCTCCCTGCTGTCATGCAAGTTCCTCCCTCCCCACCACTGTGTAGGCTATCCACCATCTCATTGCCACCATCATGTGGGAAGTTCCTACCCTCCTGCCACTACCGTGAGAATCCCCTGACCAAGCACCCCTTCTGTTGTCATATGGCCTCCCACCTTGCTGTCCTGCCCCAGAGACCCCAGCCACTTCCACCTTAGCAGCCAGAGCAGTGCCCAGGAGTTACATGTTAACTTCTTCAGCCTGAAGCTGCCAGTTGAACATCCCGAGGACAGACCAAACTAGTATAGGATGTTACAAGATGCATTAACAAAGCATGTAAGCACAGTAGGACAACATCTAAAAAATCTTTTTTGCTAAAACAAAACTCAGATTTAGGCCCAATTTAGCAAATGGGACATACCAGGTGCATCTACACATGCATTAATGCACCTTTTCTAATGTGCATTAAAATTAGTGAGGTACTAATTAATGTGCACCAGGGTGCGCAGTACATTTGAATGCTTTTTTTGGTGATGCTTAATGTGCAGTAGACTCTTTTACTGAGCACTAGCATAATGTTACAGTTTTTTACATGATGTTTAATGTGTAGCTAAATAGTCTACTGAACATTCAAGCACATGTGTAGTCATGCCCACCTATACTCAAAAACAGAGCCAACTCCAGACACAGCTTCACAGATGTGCAAAATTTTATCTCCTTTATCCTGAGGATTCTTTCTGAAATACAGCTTCACTTGCCCCGGGGAATCAGTGCCATGTATGCTACTAGGCTGTTTACAATCTTTCCTTTGCATATTTTTGTTGATGTAAGCTACAGAATTCAGCCCAAAGATGAGGCATAATTGATCCCTCAAGATACAAATGCACAACCCCTCATATCTATGACAACTCTCTCAGCTACAAACAATAATCATTATTTCTGTGATAATTTATTATTAAAGTTATATCTTAACTAGCACAATGACATACAACTTCTCAATGTTAACCAAAGTAAAAGATGACATGCTGAGGCTTGATAAAAAAAAAATAAATTGAGAATTGATAAAAAAATCATGTTTAAAATAAATATCTCGAAAGAAAGAATGAAAGCAAGTGTACTCCCGGGTTATCAAATTCTAAAAGAAGGGTATCTCCTGACAGAATTTGCTCCTCTGCTCCTTTTATCATGTACCTATTCAGGGATGGTAACTGTCATGGATGTGGGGGTAGCTCCTCATGGTTTGCAATCTCTGGACCAGAAAATATGGCAAGGTGAGGCACAGCAAATAATGACAAGACAGCAAAAAATAATAGCAAGATATTAATATCTGCTACTGGTAGCAACATGTGACTCATAGTAGTTGATGGAAAACATGAAGGAACTTGTACATGTAAGAGACTGGAGGATTTCTGTGAGAAGAGTTGGATGCTCAAGGAGAGGATGAAGAACTACAGGGTGCAGATAAGTGCCTGTCCATGTGAATTTTAAATGACAATGTTTAGCTGGAATTAATCACAAAAAGATGAGGTAAAAATCTGGCTTTGCTGAATGAGAATTTCACCATTGACTTCAGTGGGACCAAGC